TTTCCGGATCGATCAATTATTAATCGTGTTAAAGAAGCACTTGGAGAAGATCAATGGGATGATTTAGATCGATTGATGAGCGGTCGTACTTGTGGTCATGTCTATCGTTTATCGGATATCCCTAATCGTCATGGTTATTGCAATTCACATCCAAATCCACTTTTGGTTGTTCAATGGTCTCCATAAAAGCTTGCTTTTTTGCAAAAATTAGAACAAAATAACACGTTATCTACATAAAAAAAATTCGAAAAAATCAAGAACTTGTCCAAGCATTATTATATCATATTTTCCTTATTTTCCCTTTTCAATATCGGAATAAAATAATCTCAAATAAGATTGAAACATAGGCCTGTGATTATAAATTGGCATCATCACGCTGTTTAGTGTCAGCTATTACAAAGCAACTAAAACCTTCCTAAGAATGAAAAACTAGCGATAAAACTAGAACACTAGTTCCTCTATTGCTCTAGAAAAAGTAGCGAAGAACGCTGTTACTCGATTGACACTGTGTATTTTTGATAAAACGATGCACGTAAATCAATGATCACAAACAAATGGAAAAAAACGAAAAAGAAATACAATAAAACCTCCCATAGTACCCTAGTGAACGTACTGAGCTAAGGGTACCCATGTGCTAAGAAAAGCCTCAGGAAGGTATCCTATATGGGTATTTCAAAAAATCTCAGTAATTATGTTAGGTCAATTTTTATGCGTTATTATTGAGACGTAAAAGTATAATGACCTTATCTTAGAATTGACTAAGTAATAATGATGTTGGTGATGATGAAGTAATGAAATAAGAAATATAATACCAGGGGGAGAGGGAGGAGAGATTTATTTTGATGATATCACTGGTAATAATAATAATAATGGAAGACGAATCGAAGATAATACAATACAACCTTCCACTAGATAGGAGAAAGTTCAAATGAACTATATCAAAATCTGAGAAAATCCGAAAGAGAGAGAAAGACAGAACAGAGAAGAAAAATCTAATTATAGAACGAACGAAAGAGAAAAAAACCAGCTAATAGAAGAACGAACGAGAAGACGCCAACAAATGAGAGAATAACAAGAAAAGACCAATTGAACGAAGTTCACTTAAGTTAGCGTCAACCTCATTGGGTATCCATAGCAGTATTTTTACTGAACAAGTATTTGTATGGGTATCGACACATGTAATTTTACTGAGGAAAGCTCTACAGGGTATCCTAGATTTGTCGCGTTCTGTCTAGCAACTGTTCATTAACCGTTTTCTTTTGTACACACAGTTTCATATAAACAACTCGACAAAACATAAGAAATTAATATTTTTTCATACTAATTTTTTCTAGATTATTTCTTGACTATTTACTAGTCGAGAACATGCCGATCTCGATCGTAAATTTAGAGAGGACTACCCTGAAGTGGTCTGGTGAAGATCCGGTCAGATTCCAAAATTTAATCTGCTTGAGTTTTCAGAATTCGCAAAATTAAATTGAATAAAATCGAAAAAATGTAATAAATTGCTTTGAGAGAAACAAAAATGAAAAAAGTCAAAGGTTAGGTTCGATCATTAACATACTAGTAGCAGAGTACTTTTTCTGATATCCTTAACTCAGTACATTCACTAGGGAAGTTTGACATTTTTCCAAAGACTTTTGCATTGTATATAAGGAAAATATTTTGTATGGTTAATGTCATTTGTATGTTTAAAACCACAAAAAGCACATGAAATGGAGAAACTAGTAAATATTGAATTATCAGCATACTAATAACAAAGTTATTCTCTGGAGTTTCGACAAAAACAATGTAGAATATGAATATGCACAAGAGACACATTTTTTTTTTGCTATCAAATATAATTGAGAGTGAACTGTCATCGCTTAGAAGAACTACAAATATATATGTTGTCTTAATAAAATAACAAAAACAATTACAAATATTAATGATATATTTTATTTCATTGAAATCTACTTATGAGAAAACAATTACAAACAAAATTTTATTTTATATATCTTAAAAAGATTCCATGGTTACATTTAAAAATAAATTCGAAATGCTCAATGTACAACAGTCTATATGTCATTCTCATTCAAATAATCATTATTTATCATATATATGCTTGGTCTTCTATTCCTTCTCATTGTCTCATACATCGTCGTCATCATCAACCATCTATAGGACATCATTTATTACATATTGAACATTCAATTCATAATGAACAAATATGTGAACATAAATGTTCAATTAATCATTTATGTTCAATGGCAACATATAATCGACGACATCATCGTTGTCATCTATTTCAACATCATAAAGAACATTCTATATTTCATCCTTATCGATCAAATAATATTTATTCCACATTTGCTAATTGTCCAGGAATATTTTCTTTATCACATACTGGACAAACACGAGTATCAATTGTTCATTGTGATTATGATTCGTATATATATATATTTTTTTGCGATATTATATTTTCTCATTTTTTTTTTGATTTTATTTTAAATAGATTACCATGGCAACGTGCTCTAAGATCACGATCAATTATATTTCAATCTTATACATTAATTGGTATATCTTATTTACCTTGTCAAGAACTTTGTTCATCTGTTCGTCATTGTGCTGCTGTACAATATCAAGTAAATAATTACTTTCTTCTTCTTTTTTTTTTTTTTATTATATATATGAAATAAATATTGAAGGCACGTGGTTTATATCGAAATCGTTGTCGATTATTACGTTCAGCTAAACCATGGGATCTTCTACCAAGTAAAGCATGGACTGTATTTGTTAAACGTTCATGTCATGTAAAGATTAGTCATAATGAACTTTACTTTCGACATCATCAACCTTTATGTAATTTTAAATATGTTGGTCAAGGTCAACAGTAAATATTTTTTTGTCTATTTGAAATATTGTTAGTATGATTTTTTTTCTTTTAAATAGTAAACATAATCAAGGAATGATACATACATTTCGTCATATATCCGAAATTCAATGTCAATATTTATGTTCAAAAATAATTAATTGTGTCGTTCGTAGATGAATTTATTGTTTGAATTTTTAAATTAGAAAAAAAAGTTTATTTTAGGGTATTGAATTTGTTGAAAAACAATCTCGTAAGTTAAAAAAAAAGCAAACATCACATTCTTATTTAATATTTCATATAAATTCTATGTTAATGAATTCTAGTCTTATGTATTATCTGTATCTATTCAAAATTGAATATACGTTCTCCTTGAAGACTATATATATATATCTATTTTGATTAATTATATTATGTAAAAGATCAGAGTAATGAACAAATGAGAAGTTCAAATTTTCATTTCAGTTAAATTCAATGATCTATTTTGATTATTCCCCGTAGGATAAAAACATATACTGTTACTATAAAAAATTGCTTTGTAATTCTATTTCTTTTAACTATTATCTTTTCCTTTGAACGAATAAAATAAATAAGTATAGTGAACAGAGTATAAATACACAAAATTTCATAGAGAAAAAGAAGTGATTCAGATACAAATAATATACGATGCAAAAATAATGTTGATCCATATTTCTCTTCGATAGGAAAAAATTGAAACAAAACTTTTTTTTTACTAAAAGATAGAACTTCTTCTGCTCTTCCAGATTGTATATAAAGTTAATCATAGTTAACTCCAATCCACAAGATAGCTTCAAAAAATTCGTAAACATGTGAGTAATTGCTGTCTTACAAGGACTTTTTAATGAGTATAAAATGAACCAAATTACCATCCTCTACTATAGGGTTTTGACATGTTCCTACAAAAATTACAGAATTAACGCACGAGTATTTTCCTCTTGTTCTTGTTTCATCGCATTGAGGAATGTGAGTGAAACGACAAATTACATAACATTCGAAAGAGAAGAAAATTTCTTATCGATTGGTAATAAAATTTTCTTTTCGAAACGTATTTATTGAAGAAATATAAAGATCAATATTTTCTACTACCTTTTTATAAAAAAAAAAAAGTGAAAAATATTTTCGAAGGTATACTTGGTAGAAACAATAAATTAAATATAATCTGGAAGAGCAGAAGAAGTTCATGTATTTCGACGATGTTCTGAGATGATACTGCAGTATGTATATATATATATATGATAAAGATTCAGATTATAATGAATCTAAGAAATGATCGTCGAAACGAAACTTACAAACATAGATGATCATAATAAATATGTTTGTCTATGACTTAGAAGAAAGGGCATTATGAACTCAGATTTTTATTGTTCATTCTCTTTCTTTACATATTGTAATATAAAACTATTAATTATCATATGACATTTATTGAGAATATGTAAACTATGAAAGATTCAATTGTAAAAAAAAAATCTAATTACACAATTCGAATGAAAGAATAAATAATCAAATTTTGATCGAAATGTTTTTTTCAATTCTAAAAAATCAATAAAATAGCATTCTTATAAGCTTGCATGTTTTGTTTTTCTTTTTTCATATATTCAATCAATATGTTTTTTTTTTTTTTATTTCTTAGAATGTATTCTTCTTTCTCCTAATTTTCTTCGAAATGATGGTTCTATTGATGTCAAAAATCATAATCATCATCATATTTATATGAAAATGTCATGTAGTACATCTACACATATTCTACCTAAACTAAATTTATTAAAATGTTCTTTAAATGATTTACATTGTGGTTGTCATCAAAATCCATGTCATCATGGTACATGTTTATCTCAACAAAGAGAAGGATATCATTATATGTTTTGTAATTGTCATTATGGTTTTACTGGTCATTTATGTGATAAACATTTAGATGAAAAAATTTGTCCATGTTTAAATGGTGGTATATGTCTTAATGATCATTCTGGATGTATATGTACAAATGGATATGATGGTAATTTTTGTCAAATTATATCTGATAAAAGATAAAAACTTTTTTTTTTGGACAAACAAAAAATAATAAATTCTTGAAATTTTTCTCCTGGAGCAAAAAAGATTATTTTATTAATTAGTACATCATATGCATTATTCAATGACCTGTAGCAAATATCATTCTTACAGCATATTTTAAACAAAAATTTGGTGCTTGACCATTTCGTCGACAATGTCGATAAAGTATATTTGCATTACGTTGTGAACGTTTGACAATTGTTGATCGTCTAGATCGATTTTTTGGCATGATATATGATGATGATAATTGTAAAATTGATGGAAAATTTTTTACATTTGGATTATTGATTAAAGCATCATTATAATCATTCAAATAAACATGTGACTAGAATTAATAAATAATAATAGTAAAAGAAATAAAGATAAATGTTTACCGCTGAAATAAGGAAAACGATAAAGAGGCACCATAACTATAAGAAAATATTTGAATATTATTTTAGAAGAAGAAAAAAACAAAATTCAATCAATCTACTTTCATGATCGTCTAAGTAAAACTTTTGATTAATAATAATAGAATTTGTGATAATACCAATCGAAGTCGACGAATCGTTCTTAGTTCTTGTCGTGAGACCATCACATTATGATAGATCCATTCTTCTTTCTTTTTTTTTCTCTTCGCTATTTTTTTCCCTTTCTCTCTCTCTCTCTTTATGTCATTTGTTTTTCTTCCTTTCTTTTTTTTTTTTCCTTGACATCTTAAATACAATTAATAAAAACAAAATCAAATATAAATGAAGAGTTTAAATGTTAACTAAACTATTTCTCAATCTTCCAAAAAGAAAATAAATAAATTCTTTGTTTTATATTTTTTGTTAACTGTTTCACCTAGTAGTATTTTTTTTTTTCTTTCTTATAAAAATCTATATGTTAGTATTCTTCAAATGAGATTTTTATTTGCATGGTATTTTTCTTTTCCACTTAAATACTATATAAGTAGAAGAAATGTTAGTAATCTGAAGATGAATTCTCAGTAGATCTTTTTTTTTTGCCTTAGCTTTGTCATCTCGATTTCTTCGTCAATCTCTAAGTATTTTGATTGTAATATGTCTATGTATACACACTCGAAGAAAAAAAAAAAAAAAGAAAACTCATTATTTGATTCATTTACGTATCCTACACTATTTTCCTTCCGTCTTATTGTTTGAAAATTCAAAGTTAAAAGATCGATAGTAATAGTGTTGAGAAATGAAAATAAGCTAAAAGGCTAAGACACACATACACAAAAAAAAAAGATTGTCATCAATGATGAATAAATAACAAAGAAAACTACTAGAAGAGAAAAAGAAAAAAGGAAATGAACAAAGCATCAAATATATTGTCATTTCCGTACTTGAGCCGATTCAACACCCACTCTTATTGTATATCTCTGATTCAAAGTGAATATATTCAATTTTGATGAATTCTTGTGGGATTTTATATATATATATATATATAGATATAGATATCCATCAAAGTCAAATTTTTCATGTATAAATGACATTTGATTTTCATTGTAATTTCCATTGATCTGATTTTTTAACATTTGATAATCAATAATCATTAAGACTCTAACTACAAAATGATGATTTATTATTAATTTTACATCATTAGTAATATGAACTCGAGACAAAATTCTTGTTTCAATAGAAATAAAGAATCAAAAAATCTGGATAGTAATATACCTAGGTCACCGATTCAATAGGACATTCATTTAAAAAGAAATATGAGAATAAAAACAACATATATATATATGTAACAGAATACGATTGATTTTGATTGAAAGTATTAATATGTAGGTTTCAACCTGTATTACTTTTTATAAGACTTATACTAACAATTCTTGGTGGAAAACATGATGTAAAAAAAACTCAAAAAACTTCGTATAACTTCGCAAAAAATAGTGATGTTTTTTTTCTATTCAAAAGAAACGATTTGATGAATAGTACAGCTAAGATTCCTTGTTTTTGTTCGCAAATCTTCTGTTTGATCAGATTATCATATATTATTTTGTCAGATGAAGATCTAAATTCCTCTGATAATATCGGTTGTTTTTTATATTCAAAACTCTTCATTTTACAATCAATCATGTCTGATGATCAAAATGTGTCAAAGTAGACAATCGCTATCTGTTGATGATCAGTAAATGTAAATGAATTTAATAAGAGACAGTAATAAAACGTGCATAGAACGAGTAAAATACTTATATCGTTATTTATCATGATCAAATCTCATTGGCTGATCTTTTTTTGTACATTCTATATGCGTTGTTTTACAGCATGTTAAGTATTGGTATGTCAGCAATGATACTCAAGTTAAAAAATAAGATGTTTTTTAATCAATTATGTATGTTGATTATTTGAGAATATTTTAGTTTCTATTATAAAATTTTGAACTTCAATTGAAGTTAATTTTCATGTAGCTGTTGACTCTTGCATGAACAATTTCAGCTTATTATATTGAACAAATTTGAATTGATTTAACAACAAGTGTACGAGCATCGAAAAAACTTGAATTGTTGTTATTTATTGTATTTCATTTTGTTTCTATATTTGAAATAAACTCATATCATTTTACTATTTTACTCATTATCGTTATGTTCTCGTCGTATCAAGCTGCTTGTGCATTTGTTTTTTTTTGTCGGTTTCTATACTTCCTATGATGGGAAGTAATACTAAATACAATTTTCAATTTAGTATTAGAAAACTATTAATAAAACATTCAATTATTCAATATCTAACTGATCTATGAAAATAAAAATGAACATATATGATCCTTGTTTGATATTGTTATTAGGGATGGAACCTGCCTGGGTTCAATCTCTGGTTGTTAAAAATCTAAATGTTTATTATAATCAAAATAATATTGAATATACTCAATACACAAAAAGTCTAAACTATAGATAATCTTTCAAAAGAAATGAGGTTTAATTATTTGATCTTATTACATGTTTAATAGTTTTGATAAATATTCACACAGTTACAATATTCATTGTTTTATGTTATTGAATAACAGCTTTTATTATAATTTTTTCATTCTCATTGCACATTGATTTATAGAAATAAACTCTGTATTAATCTCATTTCGAGTTTTAGATGTACACTAAATTCAAACGAAAAGTTCAATCTTTTTTTTTTCTTTTCATTATCTCAATCGATTTTTCGAAATCCAATTAAAAAGAGCTCCTTGACATTCATACATTGTTTTCTTCAATGATATATTTGTCTGTGAACTTAAATCAGATTGTATATATTTAATTTTGTTAGAAAATAATATTTTTGATTTTTGCCAACGATGATGAACAATCGATAAATTATCATCAAGTAATTGTTTACTAAGATCATCTATAATTATAATACCATTTTCATTAATTATATGAGAAAATATTGAAGAATTATAATGTTTATTTATACGAATAAAACCGCGTGGATTATCAAATGAACAATATTTTGAAGGATGATAACGATCATCTTTCATTGTACATATTTCTCGATGTTTTTCATTTTGTCGACGAAGAGACATGAGAAATGAACGAGAATTAAAATCATGCGTAAGCAAATCAATAGATAATTCATCAGACAAATTATTTGGATGCATGATATATACAAAGAAAATGTATTAGAAACAAACAATTTCGCGCTCTTTCATTGACTAAAAATCAACATGCCCTTGAAAAACAAAAGCGAGCATAAAATGACGATAATCACATAGAAGTCATTCGTACATACATTAGAACATGAATAATGAAAATGAAAATGAATTTGTAGACGGTTTACATGATTAAAAATGAAATTTGCCTAAGTTTATTTTTTGTCTAAAATTCAATCTTGCCTATGGCATAGTTTAAATAAATAAATCAAGATGAATCTAACAACAGTATTGTGTCGAACATACCTTTGTTCGTGATTTTTTTTATTAAAATTTTCAATGAATTATCTTTATAATAACAGAAGTGCAACTGTAAGGATGTAGGTATATCATAAGGTTTTATGTTTTTTAATCGATACAAAATTATGATTGAGTTATCATTTAATAGTAATGACATAATTTTTATTCATGTCACTGATAAAAAGAAAAAGAAAAATTCTATTTACCTTAAACCTCTGAAAATCTTATTTTCCAAGTATTTTACATAGTCTGTTCTTATTAACACCAGTCTTCCTAATAAGGACAAATTCAATTACTTGCAAACTACCGCCTATCATTCAGTTAGATTGTGGATGCTGCTGCCAAAAAGGCCGACACCCATCCACACCACAACTGAAATGCTATTTATAGGCAGTCAATCTATGTGTTTTTCATATGATTGTTAATCGAATGCAAAAAATCAATTTTTTCTATGTTGAAAAATTACTTGTCATAATGAATAGCGTCGAAATTATCGTTTGAATAAAGACAAAATTCTGATATCTCCAATTATATGTTAAATTGTACTGTAAAGTCTGGAATATACGTATAGAACCCAATACATGTCCATGGTATGATAATTATTGATTGATCAAGATCGTGATGTATGATAATCTTCGTAGATATTTCAAATATAGACTAGTTGACTCAAGTTTTAGTGTTGATCAGGGATTTGAAGTTAGTTTTTTAATTTAGAAAAGTCTAAAATATATAGAGATCAATTTCGGATAAGAATATGTGCAGATGACTATCATCGGGTTATATTTGTAGTATTAGCTAACTTTTTTCACTAGTGGTTAAAACTTCTGAAGTAATACCTTAATCGATGAAGAATGTCAAGTGCTTTCAGAAAATATGAAAATGATTTTGGGATAGTAAGATTTTGTGGGATCAGAGACACATTACTAGAAAACTATAATTATAACTAATCGTCATGTTTGGCCGTCAATTAGCATAATCAATCGGTAAACGATATTGTGAAAGGTAATGAATTACCCGATTTTTCGACCAAGGATCAAGAGCAGTGACACTTGTATTTTTCAGCATTCTTCACATGCACATTAGAAAGAGCTAATATTTTAGATTTTGAGTACTATAATAATGGTCTATCGTTTAGAATAATTAAATACAACATCAAAAATTTATTCGTTGAGGTATCCTGGCAGATCTTATTTTGAAATAAACGTTTCAAATCTAGGTCAATATTGTTTCTTTTTCCGGATGCATTAAAAAAACAGGCAAACATGTCCTTGAAGAACAAAACTGAGAAAAAATGACGACAGCCGCCAACTCTCAATAAACAACGCACTGTGATTGCATATCGTTGATGCAATTCTTTACAAATTTCTTTTTTCTCTTTCTTTTATTCTGTCGCTTCCTATTACTAAAAAAATTCTTCAATGGGTTGCGGTCCGTCAAATAACGACGTTGTTAACGCACAAGTCAATTCTAACGCAGCTTTTACACCTATGTTACCATCAACACAACAACAAAAACGTGCTTCAAATGCACCAAAAACGCCCTCAGGTAATCTCTGGTAAACTAAAATTAACCTGTAGATTTCATAGATATCTTGAGTTTTAGCTGTAAAAAATGTTCTCATTACTTGTCACACAAATCAACAAAATATTGCCGAACAATTAAAAAGAGATTTAACTAATCACAAATTTACATGTTATATTCTTACTGAAACAACACCGCAATCAATTGTTGCTCGAGCTAATCTTATTCGATGGTGTGATGTATTTATTGTTCTTATTAGTCGATCATATCAACAAACATTCTTTTGTATGGAAACTATCAATTATGCAAAAGATGTTCGTAAATCAATCATCGCCATTTTAACTGAATCAAATTTTCAACCTTATGGTGCATTAGGTGCTATTTCAGCTACTGCTATTCGATCAATGATATTGACAAATAATGCCATATCGGAAAATGTTATAACAGAATTATCAAATGTTATTTCAACTCAAACGAATAAGAAAAATTCGAAAAATGTCATTGATCCAGAAAAAGTATGTTAAAATGAATAACTTGAAAGAAAATTTTTTTTCAATATTATTCATAGATTGAATACAATAACAATAATGACGATTTTATTGATGGTATAAATCAATGTACTATTCTAATTTGTACAGTTGATGATGGTTCAACTGTTGGAAAATTAGTTTATGATGATTTTGTCACAAAAAATCTCAATGTTGGATTTGAAAATCTGTCAAAAGCAGATCCAAAGTTTAGTGTAAGAAAATGTACTGTATTTGTACCAATTCTTTCACCTCAATTTGAACAAACATCAATTTGTCGATCAACATTTGAAGAAGTTCGTCGACTTCGAAAACCTATTGTACCTGTCATAGCTATCAAAAACTGGAAATCAGAAGATTGGCTTGGTTTAACAATTGCTGGATGTACTTTTTTTCGAATATCTGATAAAGAAAATGCATATAAACCATTCTATGATAGTAATCGCATGACTGATTTACGTGTTGAAGTTGAAGTAAGTTATTAAAGATAAATTTCAAATAAGAAGCTTTTTTCTGTAAAAACAAAAAAAAATAAAGGTTGCTTGTCGGCCAGTTCCCAGTCAAGCTGAACGTGAACAAGCAGAGATGAAAGTATTAAAAGCGAAAATTGAAGAATGTAAAAGTAAACTACGAACATGGCCACCTCCTCGTAGACCACGTACTATGAATTCAATGGCTGATCGACAACCAGTTCGTGTTACACTGGAAGAACCAAATGCTAAACTTCGTTTTGCTCATATTCATCATACAATTACACGTATGGATATGAAAGCACCACCACCTATGCTCGATGAATATGGATTACCAAAACGAAGAGGAATCGATTGTATGATTAGGTAATTGAGATGGAGACAAAGAAACCTTGTTGTTTGATTATTATTTTTTTATTGTAGTTATCAATGGGATAGTCAAGAACTTGTTCGCAAAGTTTATGAAGATATGTCGATGCGTGAAATTGATACATGGTTTGATATTTGGGGTTCTATGCAAGGAAATACTAATGAAGCAATGGCTACAGGTTGATTTATCGAATGAAAATTTTCTTTTTTTTTTGTTTTTATAATACTTGTATTTCTTTGTTAGGTGTTGAATGTGCTAAAGTATTACTTGTCTTTTTATCTAAAGCTTATATTGAATCTAGTAATTGTCAAATGGAATTTCGATATGCTGTTAAACGTGGAAAAGCATTTGTTATTATTCGAACAGAACCCAATATTCAAATGGAAAAATGGATGCTTGAAACAATTCAAGGATTTCCTCAATATGATGTTTTTTCATATAGTGCTTTGGAGACATTGATCAACGGAGTACCAACAGTAAAAATAAGCTGAAGATTAATAGAAAATAATTTGTGATGTATATTTATTTTAGATTGATGTAATTATACAAGCTGTTCGAAAAATTGCTCAAGCACAACCACCAGATATTGTTGATGATTGTTCAAAGGAATTGTTTGAATTACGTTGTTTACTTGATGATGCACGTGATACTATAAGTGCCGAAACTGGACAAAGTCGCTATAAAACATGTACTCGCTGTAATCAACAATTTGATGAATATACTAAGGGTGGTTGCAAAAATCATCGAGCATACTACGTTGGCGGTAATATTATAGAAGGTCGATGGGTTTGTTGTAGACAACAAGAAAAAGATTCACCAGGTTGTGATCCATGTGATCATACGGATATTGTTCGTGTTTTTACTCAAGATCCTTCATATGGTACATGGACATGGCAACCATCTTAGAAATGAAGCAAATCTTGATAAATGTGACTATTTTGTTTTTAATAAATCATATGCCATATTTGAATGGTCTTAAGTATATTTTCTTTTGCATAAAACATTCGGATAATTATGATTTATCCGATAGTGCCATTTTAGTTTCATGTGAATGAGTATAGAATTCCATGATATTGATCAGTAAAGATTTCATCATATAGTGTCGAAGTTGTTTCAGTTGCTACGAGTTTTAGTACTGTGACATGGTTACATTCAATTATATGTAAACGCTTTTAATTACGAGATATTGAAAACTAGAGCCTGTTTTAATACAAGAGCATATATTGTTGTCTAAGGACGTCTGTATTTTGAGGATACTGAGTTAATATTTAAGGTCACTTTACTTAGCAAGTTACCATATCATATCGTGTGAATCTTTTCACTGAATGCTTGAAAACGAAAAATATCACTGGATAACAAAAAAGTTGGAACTCGAAATATTATCGAATAGCGGTTCTTCTTCGTGACTTTCTAATTTTAGAAAGTGATGTAGTAAGAGAGGATTTCACCATTCAAAACAATAAAAGAAGACGCCAATGAAATGCAAACCAGATGATACGCATCACAAGTGTTTTAACATTGAAAACTTTTTCATTCTTGTATTCATTTGAATGAATATTTAGATTATAGGTTAATATAGCTTCTCCTGTAGAATCCGTTCGAATAATGGACATGGATTCAGGAAAGAAAATTGGCGACAATTGTAAGTCTTTACATCTCTATGAAATATGAATCGGTATTGCATACTGCTGATCATATTCTCGGCAGCTTTTTTCATTCGTTCCTTTTATTCTGTCATTTATTTTTATTATATGATATATTGTAGTCAAAATTCAAAATAAGAATAATTTCGTTTTTTATTAAGGGATGGTTGCAAAATTCATATAGCATACTCAATTTAAAATAAAATAGTTTTCATTGTTTTTTTTTGAATAAATAGAAACCATATATAAGTTAAGTTATAGCTCAATCTGTGCTTTCATTTAGTCAAAATAATACGATTGTATCGAATATGTAATAATTTAACAAATGCATCAGCAAATATCTCATCCTTCTAACCGGTCCTTTTCACATGACCTATATACGATCATGTAGTCCTTCATAATAGCAAACAAATATTTAATCATAAGAAAAAGACATATTAACAATATCTAGCACATACCTGTATCTTACACTGTAGATACATACAACCATAAACATTCATGGATTCATGTTGATATAGTTTTTTCACTTCTATTGAATAGGATATATATATTATTATGAGTTTTTCATGTACTTTTCTTCTTCATTCAACTGTGATGAATGTTTGACAAAACACTTGGTGAACGAGATTGATCGAACTTATATTTATACTCTCCTAAGGCGTTGTTTTTGTTTTTTACATGTTCAATTCAAAACATTCAATAACTGAATGGGCTCCACCATAAAGTGATTATCTAACGATAACTATAGTAAAATTTAAAAAATAGAAAATTATCTATTAGAATATACACTAAAGAAAACATGAAGATTTTTTACTACAAGCTAATGTGAAGCCTTTCAAGAAGAATAGTTCATTGTCCTACTTCTTTTTTCTTCGTTCCATAAGAGAAAATATTGAATTAATCAAGATATTATTATTTTGTTCTTTCGCATTGATTATGTTAATTTTGAATTTTGTAAAATAGCATGACTAAAGTCAATTGAATATGTAATATTATCTTTTGAATCTTTTAATGTTTGTAAATATTCAAGAGAATTAATATCTTTTGCTTGTGTAAAACCTAATCTTGAACACATCGATGCTAAACCATTAATTCGAGCTAATTCAGTACTTTTATGTGCATCAGCTTTAGCTTGGTCACGTTTTAATTTAGATTGAGCTTCAGAAAATGCAATTGTTTGTGTTGCATTATTACGAAATTGATATACTAATATATCAGTTTGTTTTTTAATAAGAGCTTCTTGATTTAATGATTCTTCTTTTTCTTTTTCTAAATCACGAACTAAACTAAGAAGACGTCGTTCCATAACACGATCAGGAACATCAATATCTAAAATATTTAGTAAAATGAATTTTTTTGTGTTTTTTTTTTGATTCACTCTACCATGCAATTGAAGATATCGTAGTTCAACAAATAAGCCTTTCTCTTCTTTATTACAACCTTTTTCACGTGGTTTACAATCAGAAATACATTGTTCATGTATTGGACATTTTGGACAATTATTTTTACACTTAGGAATACAACAAGAACCACCTAGAATATGAATTATCTTATTTATAGTTATAGTATGTTATTTTGATTATTTTTTTTACCTAAATGACTTTTAACACCAAAATAAATTTCACGCCAAATTTTATTTCGATTATTTATAAATTCATCAGTATCAAATCGTGAACATGTTGATATAATTGCTTCTTTAGCATTCAATGTTATAATTGGTTCATATTTAATATCATATGCAGCATGAAGAAGTGGTAAATCTTCTTTGATAAGAAAATATTGATAAGATATTTTCTAAAGAAAATAAAGAAAGCTATTAATGCAATCCCTGTAGGGTTGAAATGTGAAATACAATGTAGCTATTCTAGTTAATCACAGAAAATTCATTCATACGTTTTCAATCACGATAATACATGTTCACGTTTTTGATAATTCATTTTCATCTTATGGTTCATGATTATTTGTAGATGAATTTGCATGAAAAATGAATTCTTTTAATAAAACAATATCATTTTTCTCTTCTGTAATCTGTTCTCAAGTACAATAAATTGTTCGAATTTTCACTCCTATGCTTTTATATAAATTAACAGTTTGAAAAAGTAAAAATATTTTGAAATATCAAGATCTCATTAATTGCTGGGTCGAGCCGGATATGATCTCATAGCAGGAATTCGAATTAATGGTTCAGATCGGATACATCATTTAACTGCAGGACACTAGTTCATATATTTTAACAAAACGTTATTGACATCTGAAGGAACTTCAAACTGTAACCCCTAACGAGCGTCCTATGAGTTCTGAGCCTCAATAAAAATTAGTTTATACATAAACAAATAGTGATCCCTACCCAACTATATCTGTATGAGCTTCAAGTGCTTAGGACCATGTGTTAAGAAGGTCCTCCTCTCAAAATTGATTTCTCACTTAAAATGGACCATTTGAACTGAAATTTTCAGAAACGATTGGTCCTAATGAGAAACGCTTGTGGGAAAAATTTCAGTTCGATATACCCTAATAAATCGAACTTCCGCCTTATTTTTCTACCTTCCATGAGAATTGAAATAACTCCGTCGTTATAAAGGATACAGAGCTTAGGCTGGTTTCAAATTAAAGTTAGCCTCTGTGCGCAGCTTTTCATCAGACGAAATTGTGAAACTCTCTTTCGTTCATTTTTTTATATGCATTTTAATAGACATGGTGTTCAAAATAAGCATAAAAAAATGTCACTCCACGATAGTAAATCCTATTTTTCTCAATTTTGAAATCAAGTACCAAAAATTCGTCCGATGGAAAGTTAACTCTGATAAAGACCTTTAAAACAAAACAAAATACATCGGTGATACTTCGAGCCGAGTGGGAGTTATTTCAATTTTCCTGCCTAGAAACCATGTTTTGAGAAAAACGCTAAAGAAGTTTTAGAAATGAATTTTTTCATTCAAATTCAGAACAAATCATATTACAATGGGATATTTTTAATATATTCCTGTGAACCGTTTTAGAGTACGTAACAGATAAAGGTAGTTAACGTCATCTGACATACTGATTAATATAAAAATGTTCTATTCAATGATAATGCAAGTGGTAACAGTTTTTCAAAAACTGCAAACCTTTAAAAACTACGAAAATATGATAGTAGACTCAAAATTTCATGTGATAAGTCTTTGAAAATCTGATCATTTCCCAAAAAGCCATATATATATCCTGAAAGAGGAAGTTTCGCTACATCTTCCTATGATAAAAACTCAACTTCGATATTTTTTTGAAAAATCTGATTTTCTAAGGAAGGGAAGCCTCCTTAAACGGCATAGTGTCCTATGATATTATCTCTTTTAATAATAATGATATAAATAGAAGAAATATGATAGTTAAGGCATGGGTGGATGTTGGTACAGAGATAGCTACATCAACATCCTCGATACTATGTATTACATACGATAGATGCATAATTCATCAAAAGGCGATTTTGCGATTTTTTAGTACCATGTTTCTTCTATTTATATCACTATTATTAAAAAAGATCACTCCTTGTTTACATATAAACTAAGTTTCGTAGGGGTCTAGAATCTTTTATACTTCAATACTTCTTTTAGATCATCTTTTACAAAATGATATCTGTTCTAAATTTTGCTTGTTTTCATTTTCCTATATAAACATTGAAATCTTAATAGTATGATTAAGGCTATATCTAATAAAAGCAATAAAAATATTTAATAGTTTTCTAATTGAGATCTTTATTTGTATACAGAGATCGATGAGTTCAATTTATCAAAATATAATTTTTACTCACTAGGTGAACTTGTAAATTATCTGTCGTAAAAACCGGTGTATTATTTAAATTGACATGATGTCCTGAAGCTTTAAATATTTTGAAACTAGATCAACGAAAATATAGTGAAATCATTTAAGAATAATATTCTGATTACGTAAGATCTGGTCCAAGAAAATATCGTCCACTTTCATAAATTCGATCAAGATTAACACGACCTGTAGATCGACGACGAAGAAAACCAAATTCATAAAAATCAATATAAGAAAATGAATGAATTAAAAGAGTGATCAAAATTGACATAACAATAACAGAAGCTGTTATTATCGGTGAAATCCAACGAACAGATATTCCACTACCACCTGCCATGATATCTAAAATTTTATGAACATTATTTTTTTAGGGACATATACTACGTTTCTTTTATTATCGAGCATAGAAGAAATATATGTTTGTTCGCTTGCATACAAATCAAAAGCAAGTAGCAAGCAAAAAAAGAGAATAACGTGTTATTTTAGTGAAAGCATTAGTATTCATGGTTACGTTTTCTTTTGCTTTTTAGGCAGGCGAGAGCAAAGAAGAAAAAATGAGAGAACTGAAAAAAAATGTAAAAATCGAATACGTTCGCTGTTTAGTGTACAATCGCTCGACAAATTGTTTATTTTTGGTTAAGTTTGACTCTTTTATTTCGATAAAATAATCCAACAAATTGAAAAACTAATTTTTTCCAGTGACTGTATTTATTTGAAGAATAATATTTTATTTAATATGCAGTTGTATGTCACCATCGAACTCAAAAAGAAAATAATATTATCATATAACTGTGCTTTTATAACGAAGCAAAAAAAAATATATCACACGGAAGAAGAACGACAAGTGTTTGTTGTATTCATGTTACATATTTGTGAAATAAAGTGTTCAGTAATGTGAGGACTTCATGTTCGTAATAAGATAAGATTGTTATTCTATAATTTTTTATCGTAGAATGTATAGTAATTACATATTTCTGATCATTTAAAACAAGGAATCATATTTTCAGCTTATACATTCTTGGAACTTTCATTTTTATTGATGAAGAGTGATAATTATTCCATACTATCTCTAGTCGATAGCTATATAATAGTCACGACTTATGTCAGTGAAATTGATTCAGCACATTTCTTTTTTACTTCTTGCAATTATCTCGTTTCAAGATATTTCTGTGCATTATGAAGACAACGCAAATGAAATATTTATTATATTGAACCGATTGTGTCGTAGAAGCTGAATTAATATTTATCTCAAATAATAATCTTTTAGTTCATGAATATACTAAAGCAATACATTTCGATAATTTGATAATTGTTACCGGTTTATCTTATGCATGTCTTCGTAAAACCAGTGAACCTCATTATTCAAAAACAATAGTTCAATATGATAGTTTTCATGAAAAAAAAGAAGCTTAATAAATATTAATTATTGTTGTTGATCCAATCGAAGTTGAATTGGATACGAGCCATTAAAAAAAATCACATAGTCAAATTAGAGGAAGATTAATCATAATGGCTTAGAATTATTAATTATGAGTGAATATAACGTAGTGCTTTCGAGAGTGAATGTAAAAACGGGTGAGTGTTTGAATTCATCTTTTGTTTTAAAATAAATCAAAAGAACATGTCAAAGCGGAATATTTACAGTAGATTAACGGATTGATGATGATGATGGAAAAATGTGTAGATAACATAGATGTGTAAGGCTATAAACTAACGAATGTCTAGTAGACACTGGTAAAAATAACAACAGGCTCGAGTCTTTTTATGCAATATTCAGTCCTCAAGGGGTACCAAATTAGTTCATGTCTGCGACTTGTAAAACATCGAATTTGCTGTAAAATCATGTCATTTTTGAAAAGTTTCTGTCGTCTGTTCTTTAAAAAATGCTGTGCTCTATCTACTCAATATTTGTCCATTTCGCTATGTTAAAGTTCAAATCAACTGTGCCTTGACTAACTCGCTAAGTTCTATCGAATTGTTTATGATTTATGCCAGTCCAATTAGGAATGAAGTCGGCAATAACGAAACCACTTGCTAATTAGATGCTCTAAAAGGACTGATCTTGCCGAATATTCATCTTGTGGCTTATGTCCATCATGAAAACTATCCTGTCATATACGACCCAACTAGTTCTATCAATTGGTATCATTTCAATGCCTATTCGAGTGCTAGTTCGGATGAAAACTGTCTGCTACAGACTAATAAGGGTGTGGGTGGGTGTGGGTGTGTGGGTGTAGGTGTGGGTGTGAGTGTGGATGTGGGCATGGGGTGGGTGGGTGTGGGCACGGGATGGGTGAGTGTGGGTGTGGGTGTCAGTCTTCTCTTCAACCGCACCCACACCCACACCCCCACCCTTCTCGAAAATGTGCGAATTTGACATAGATCAACTCAGTTTTTCATGCTGATTACGAATATGTAGAAAAATCAATACGTTTACATGATAATTTTTGGAGTTCTAGCGTGATTTTCCAGGGATCCTCTGAAAAATCGATTTTGAAAGATCGTTTCAGAAAAGACGCCTATGAGTCTTGGCTATCAAGCGATGAAAACTGCAGGTCTCTACCTTGTTCCTATCAAAAGTTATTCAAGAAAAATCCGAATGTCTTGACTTCTGGAACAGATAGTAGTACCAGAAAATCCCTACCAGTTGAAAGTCTAGATGAGGATTTAAGGCCTGCATGCCACGTAGTCAAATTCTTAGTTTAAGCTGATAATCAAGGTTAAAATAATATACTTTAATTCTAAGACGGTTAGCTATTGTGTACCTCGATTTTCAGTATCTTATACGAGTCTTTTCGTACACTATTCTAGTTTAGTTTTTACGTCGAACATTTCAAACTAGTAATTAATTCTGAAAGAATAATTCAACAAAAAAAAACTGAATATATTCTTGATGGTAGATGATTGGTTTTTTTCTAATTTGCTTTTGTGTGCAGTTCACACCTGACTTAGAGATTGAACTAGAGTGTATTTCAATAGACAAAGAACATGAATACACGATAGATATGAAGTTGACTAGTAATAAGATTATTCTGTAGATGAAGATAAAAAGAAGTGAAGAGACAAGTCAAACATCCATATCCTATAGTCACACAGAAAATAATAAAAAAAGTTTGGAATACATTGTGCAATAGTATTTACAAATCTAATAAACAGACAGCTAATAACTTTATTTTTTCTTTTCAAAAACTTGAAGAGTACATCGAGTTAATACAAGTTACAGACATAGTAGCTGTATCTGGTTTTTAACATGCTTCTTTTTCAGATCAGAATAGACTGATAAAAATGACCTGTTAGCAGCTCTAATTTGAACTTACCCACATATCGATTAATGTATTTTGAATTCGATCATTAAGAAGAAAAGAATTTGGAATTTGTTGAACAGTCAATTGAGATAATGAATAATCACCAATATGAGATAAAGCTTTAATTAGACAAAGATAAATAATAAAATCTGGTTCAATATTATCATTTTTCATTCGATCAAATAAATCTAATACTTTTTCAGGATTATCTGTTTTAAGATATCCACTCATTAAATTTCCATAACTGATCACAGATTTTTTCATTTTTGACAAAAGAATTTCTGCAGTGGAAAAATCTCCACATTTAATCAATGCATCCAATTGTGAAGTCAATAGATGAAAATTCGAATAAAAATGTTTTGGAATTTGTGATAATACTTTTTTTATTAAATTTAATGCTTCATGAGTTCCTAATTGAGCACAAGCATTAAATAACATAATAAAATTAACATCATCAGGATTTTCAATTTCATTGAACAAATCAATCGATTTATTTGCCATATTATTTGTATTATAACCTGGAAAAAATAAAAAGAATTTTAATCAAATACGATAATAATAAATAGATAAACTACTGTTACCTTTCATCATTACTCCATATAAAGGTGATATTTTCTTTATAGATCTATTGAATAATGCTTCAGCATGTGTTACATTACCGCATTGTATCAATGCATCCAAAAGTGAAGTTAAAAGACGTAAATTCGAATAAAAATGTTTCGGCATTTGTGATGATACTATTTTTGTTAAATTTAATGCTTCGCTAGTTCCTAATTCAGCACAGGCAGTAAATAAGAGATTAATAACAATTTCATCGGGATCTTTTATTTCTTTGAACAAATCAATCGCTTTAGTTGCCATATTATTTTTAATATAACCTGATGAAAAAAAAAACAATAATAATAAATAAATAAATAATATTTACCTTTCATCATTGCTCCGTACATTGATAATATTTTCGTTGTTGATGTATCAAACAATGCTTGAGCATGTTTGACATCACCGCATTGCATCAATACATCCAAAAGTGAAGTTAAAAGACGTAAATTCGAATAAAAATGTTTCGGCATTTGTGATGATACCTTTTTTATTAAACTTAATGCTTCATTAGTTCCTAATTGAGCACCGGCATTACATAAAATAATAATAATAACTTCATCAGGATTTTTTATTTCTTTGAACAAATCAATTGCTTTATTTGTCATGTGATTTTTAATATAACCTGATGAAAAAAAAAATAATAGAAAATAAATAGATAAATAATTATTACCTTTCATCATTGCTCCATAAGTATGTAGACTCTTTTCTGATGCTGTGTCAAATAATGATTGAGCACGTGTGACCTCACTACATTGCACTAAAATGATGAAAACATAATAATAAAAGTCTTCTGATTATAACTTACTGTAGAGATGAATTAACGATACTAATATATAAGAATTATCTTTCATATCTGACGAAATGAATTGATGAATAGTTGAACCACGTTGAAGATCTCTAATTCGAGCAGACGCTTTTAAAGCTTGAGTAATAGTATAGCTGGAAAGAGTTTTATTATTATTTTCTTTATATTTATCAAATAATTCAAGTGCTTCTTTGAATTTTTTCTTATCGTTCAATAATTTCATCTGAGTACACAAGTCAAAATCTGATGGAATAATTACTGAACGTTTGATACCAGATGTTAAAAATATCAAACGATGATCTAGTAATTTCTTTAACATTGAATTATTTTCTTTTTAGTTTTTTTTTAATTAGAAATAATTAATAAAAATCCAATAATGTATAAATTTTTTTTTCTACTAAGTCTATTGAATATGGATCTAAAACCAATCAAAATTTAACGAAAAGAGGGCGTCCTATATTAGTGTGTAAAGATATTTGTATATCTTTATTTGATAAATCTACCTGGGATCAATATTATTAATAAGAATCTGAAATGGAATGTATATGTACACATTGTTTTGTAGACCAACGTGCATGAAATGTGCAAAACTAATGGGTAACTACATCAAAAGTATCTTCTGTTAAAACGATATTTATTTCATTTTTCACTTTAATGATAATAATGAAGATTGAAGAGTGACGGTACAGAGGTAGAACAGATCGAGAACGGCATTCATATTTTTCTCAATCTACCTTTGTCACGATCGTGTCACGTTTATCTACAATTCATCTGAAGAGAGACATCATCATGAAAAAAAATATGAACAAAGAATTTAGAATCTGTAGTTATTGAAAATTCTCGTATATAAACTAAAGCTAAAATCTTTTATGATGAATTTTTTTTCCTAGTGTTTATTTTTCAGCTGTTCGAAAAATTATTTCAGTAATACTTTACATTCATATTGGTTGGCACAGTAGCCATATACGTAAGCTACATGTACAACAACATAGAGAATTTCAAAGTACTCGTATCTATTATTCTATTGAACATGATGAGTGTAGTGTTGATTATGTATACTTCTTCCAAATGATTACGGTAATTGCATAACAGAGATCCGATGCTCGCCGAGTTTCCCCGCCTTACCGCGAGACGAGGCGGGACGGCATTTCTCGCACCGAGGCGAGTACGAGTTGATCTTGTGACTTGGCGAGTCGACTCGCCTACTTACAATATAATATTTGGTGAATACTGGAAAAATCTCTTACTAATAATCAACCAACAGGATCCATATTTTCAATTTGATGACGAGTACGATGATGAATGAAGCAAATATCTTAAGGAAAGAATTGAGATCGATTCAATCGACAATAATCCTTTAAAGTTTTGGTATCAATATTAATTCATTTGATATCTTCCAGCTTCATGAGCATCTTTTTAACTAGTTCGTTTCATTGACACAATATTTTTCCCTGTTTATCGATACTTGTTCTAAGCAGTTTCAGAATTTTGTACTAGTTTACTTTAGACGTAGCATCCTCACCCTCATGCAATGCTGTGTATGCAAGCTATATCCTCTCAGTGTTTTAAGTGAACTAGTGCTAAATAATATTTCGTTACTATAAAATTACGAGATATTGAATTATTTTCTAATTTCTGTTATTACAATAATTTTCTCTAATATTCTATTTTTTTCGAAGTTACTATTGAATAGAGTGTCAATGAAAGGGAAAATTAATTAATTATGCTTCACTTGTCGATGAAACAGGACCATATTGATTCATTTATCCAATATCATCAAAGTTTGCTCGATCAAATTTTTCAATTGCATCAACTATGGATAGCGTCCAACACAAATGCAGTGTGGGTGGTTTCATAGTCAATTCTAGACCTACTCGCTTAAATGCACAACAAATAAACAAGGGTGTGGGTGTGGGTATGTGTGGGTGGGTGTCGTTAACCTCATGAATCCCGATAATTTCTTGCATTCTGTATAATATGGATAAAAATAAAAAAATCACTCTCCCTTGCGTTCTGTCGCGTTCAACCAGCTGTATGTATATGCCACAGATTATCGATTATAAAACATGGACTCGTAATGCCTTTATAGTGTGTTCTTGATACGACACGAAAGAAATAGAAACTATGTGTACCTTGAACAAGAGAAAATCTGATGAAAGAGACAGAATATTTGTAAGAAATCACTATATTCAAAATTTACAATGGAGAAGCGTAACGTTTTTGACGATAGCAGCGATAGTGAATACGAGGAAAAATCTATGGTGGCTTTATCAGATTCAGAAATTGATGAAGTAGAGAAACAATTAATCAATACGAATCTTCATTACGAGAGTGAAGAGTACAGGTAATAATTTGATTCTATTTAACACTAATAGACTAAAGCAAGATTTACTCTCTAGTGATGACGATACCGTCTATCCTTATGGCACTGTTGAAAAAAAGGATGAAGCTTTGTATAATGAAAAAGAAATTTATGATAGTGAAGAATATAGGTAAAGATCTCACTCTGTTTGATCTTTGGCAGATGAAAGTATTTTTGCTGTGTAGTGATGACGATGTTATATATCCAAATCGTTCAACTAGTTCCTCATCAAGTTCAGGACAAAGTATCGATGGACAATGGACAATAGTTGAACCTGGAAATGATAAGATATCACGAGTCTTACCAACTTTCCAAGAAAAAACTGGACCTAATTTTCCAGTTAGCTCGTGTCCTTCACCAGCTGATTTCTACAATGAAATGCTACCTGATTCATTATTTGATCATATTGTTATATGTACTAATACGCGTGCTCGTGTTCATTTTGATAATACTATATCATCATCACAAAGTAAAGAATCATGGAAACCAGTAAGACTTTTTTCAAAATTCTGAACATATTCAAAATCTTCATGTTGAGGTTTCACGTGAAGAAATAAAAAAGTTTTTCGCCATTGTTGTTCATATGGGTTTAATTCGGAAGACATCAAGAGATTACTGGTCGACTGATCCCTATATGATAACACCGATATTTCATTCTTCGCAATATTTGTCTCGTAATCGTTTTTTTTCTATTCTTCGGTAATTATATTTTCTTTCATCAATACAATAAATTCAAATTCTCTTTTTTCAACGTAGCTTCATTAGATTTGCTGACTATAAAAATTTGAATCAGAACGATCGATTACAAAAAATTCGACCTTTTCTTGATAAAGTGAAGGAACTATGTCAATCAAAGTATATTCCATCGAGAAATATTGCTGTTGATGAAACTCTCATGCTTTATAAAGGCAGATTAGTATGTGAATTTCTAGTAGATATTTCAAAGATATAGTATCATTTCACAGTTATTTAAACAATATAATGCACGAAAAAGAGCTCGATTTGGAATAAAGACTTTTGCTTTGTGTGACTCATCAAATGGCTATCTTATTAATTTCGAAGTCTACACAGGGCAAGGTGAGAAATAATTTTATTTTTTTTATTTTTGGAAAGATATTTAATTTGTAGGAACAGATGCATGGGGACATAATTTTACGGATGCTCAAACACTTTCAGTTTCTGAGAAAGTAGTAATTCATCTAATTGGTCATCTTTTACAAAAGCAATATAGTGTCTATGCCGATAATTGGTTTGTGAGTGTCCGTTTGGCACGATGGCTAATGGACCATGGTACAACAATCACTGGAACTATAAAAAAGAATCGAGGTGATTTTTTTAAATTCCAGTCAGCTGTTATTATCTTGATTGAAAATTCTTCGGTGCATCCATCTCAGAGAAGTTACAAGAATCTTGAGAATTACACTCAACCAAAAAGAAAAAGAAAGACCATTAGTATAGTTTCTTACAAAAGTCTTCCAATTGAACGTGGTACCCTCGGATAGATCAATTAAATCTGAAAGGAAAAACAAGAAAAATTTATAATTTATAATTTTTAACTGAACAGTTAAAAGATTCTATTGAGCAAATGAACGAGAACTTCAAGATGACACTTGCAAAGCTCTTCAATAATGCTCGACTGAATTCTTTGTTGATCATCAGATATTTCCTTGGTTTCCTTATTCACAGCCTTACTGACTTTTCTTCTTGATAGTTCTCCTTGTTTTGTAATGAATCAATATAACGTTTTGATGATGAGAGTGTTGAGTAAACCCTTATTTGATGTATTATATAAAGAAGTTCCGTTTATATAAAGCAACCAAATATCATCAACACTCAAGAATTTAATCAAAAAAAATCAACAAAATCTAGATGAAAATCTATACTTTTTATATGTAGGAGTGCCGAAGGAATTGGTGCAAACCTATTTGAGTGCTCCGACTTCCTGTTTCATAAGAAATGGAGATATCTTGATAGTGAAATTTGCTGACAAAAAGGCAACTGGTAATAAAGAAATTTATGTAATTGATTCAAAAGGTATAGCTGAAACTGTAGATGTTGAACGATTCGAAAAGGGTAACAATTTTGTTTTCTCAAAAATAAGTCTCTTTGATCATTTATAGGAGGCTCAAAAAAAAATTTTTCAAAACCATTATCAATAGTTGATTACAACCGACATATGGGAGGGGTTGATCTAGGTGACAGTTCACTCCATCATGCACATATATGTCGCAAATCATACCGATGGTTTGTAAAGTTGGGCATTCATTTTTTATCACGACTACTTTTTAACGCATTTGTCATGTACCGGATGTTTGTATCCAATGCACGTTTTTCTAAATTTCTCTGGAGGTAAGAAATTCTCTTTCTAAAAAGGATTACTATATTGTTCTTATAGTTTCATAAAGAATACGATGGAGTCAACAGGGACAATTCGTATTCGTAGATCTCTCTCTCAATATACACCTGCTCAAAAGCGAACTAAATTGCAAACAAGCGATTCTCTTTGTTCAATGGTTCTGAATACTTCACATGTTTACAGTAAAGTTCAATTCAATTTGTATCAGATATGTTTTATTTTCTTTGATTCCTTTTCTTTTTTCAGGTAAAACCGAATATAACGAAAAAAGACAAGGTCGTACTCAGAAACGATGTGTACTATGCTCTTCGAAAAAAATTCGAAAACAAACTATCTACTTCCGTCGAACATATCCAGAAGAATCAGGTTTATGTTTTCCAGATTGTTTCGAGAGTTTTCATAGTGAATTACAAAATTTAAATTAGATCTGAAATAAGAAATTTTACTAATCAATAAATAACTAAAAAAGGAATTTCGTTATTCAAACATAATCGGAGAAAGTTTCTTTGATAGTTTCGCGTATGTTAGAATTAAAAAAATATAATGACAAGCGCCATTGCACATATGACCTATCCTCTATTCATTTTCTCCTTGCCAAACATATGCTATTGACACGACAGAACGAAAAAAAAATTCTTTCGTTCTGCTTGTCTTCAATTGAAGACAAGCGGGATTCATCAGGTTAAAGAGAAGAATAACACCCACATCCTCCACCCACCCACATCCACACCCACACTCACACCCACCCACATCCACACCCACACTCACACCCACCCACATCCACACCCACACTCACACCCGCTCACACCCACCCACACCCTCCTTGCTAGTCATTGTGTAATGGTGAACGATCCTAACTATATCAAATCATACCAAAACAAATATTAATCCGTGTACTCCATATGAAATGAATATCATTGAATAAATATTATTTTTTTGCTTCTTTATCGTCACTCCTTGCCTTCTCGGTCGGTAAGTGTTTTTTTGCTGCTATGTGCAGTTCGTCTCATAGGTGCTTATTTGATAAGAATTTTAAAGAAAAAGGTAAAAAAGAAGGCAAATACAGACAGCAACCGAAGATAAGTTTGACAGATTGCAAAAGTAAAATACGAATCATTCGAAAAAAACAAATCAACGGCGTAAGAAGCAAAACAATTCGATCAGCTACAACACATTATTCACACTACGAAGAACAAAGTGAGTTTAACTTAATGGTAGTGAGTAACTTATTAAGTAGATTCGAAATGCAAAAGAAATTGTTTTCAACGTTATACACTTAGCACCAAGACACTACAAATATTGAGAATGATTAAGATGGATATAATATTGACACCCACGACTGACTTTATTTAAATCGATCGATTTGTCAATGTATGTCAGTTACTGGTCTCATCCATTCATTTTTTCGCAGCTATCTCATATTTGTTTGATCTTCTGATTCATGTCAATTCTATGATGTTGTCTATATGTCAAATGACTTGTCTGCTTCTTTTG